TTCCACAACACTTGGTCAGCCTTAAGAGTCAGCTTGCTGTGCAGGTTAGCCTTATCCACCATTATAACGTTACTTATGGAGTAATATGTTTGGGAGAATCAGAAGACCTATATCAAAACCGAGAACAGTGTTCTCTTAATGAATTGGACTAATATTCTATCTATGAGCTGATACTATTTAATGGTGAGTACGTAGCAAAGTTTGCCGATAGTCCTATAAGCATATTGAAGTTAACGTTGATGCTTGTAATCTCTAACCTTCCTATGCATGTCATGACAATATTTGTCACTAGACTAGAAGAATTCATTTGATTTACCAACACCCATGGTGTCATTTGGTAGTGTTGGACTCTTTTAGTGATCACATCCAATTCCTATAACTTCAATTAACTGGGGAAAGAAACAAAAAGAACCCTATTGGTTTTGTTTAATCAAAATACATGTTTTGCTTGTATGATTGAATGGTGACAGTTACAATTTGATGTAGGTTTGTGCAAGAAAGAGGAAAACATTTGTTCTGGTTGATGGTGGTGCCGTCTATGGCTTTGGGTGGATGGGATTTGGCAGCCTGGGTTTTCCAGATAGGGGTGTATCTGACAAAATTATGAGACCTAGAATCCTTGATTGCTTGAGAGATCACCGCGTTTCACAGGTTAGCACAGGTCTGTACCACACTGTGGTGGTAACTCAGAGGGGGAGGATGTTCGGATTCGGGGACAATGAGCGAGCACAACTTGGTCACGACACATTGAGAGGCTGTCTTGAACCTACCGAGATTTTTATTCATGAAATGGAAGACGAAACAACTCTTCTTTTAGAAAGCAGATGAGATGCAATGAATTACATTTGCTTTTATGGAGGTTAGTGAATGTGTTGTGTTCCCATTTAAGAGGTGAAACACCGTTTTCCCCTCTCATAACAATTATTGTATAGTTATATATGAATTTTAACTGCGCATTCTGGATACTAACTACTCTATTTTATAAAGTTGAATATGTAGGCCGTGACAGTTGTTTTCCCTGCTTCTATCCTTCTTGTTAATTCTACTTGTTCTAGAGAGGTTCTGTCACCTGCATTCTTACAGCTATTTTGCCACTAGAATAAACTATACACTGAACAAATTTATAAGTGTAGCTCAGATTATGCGACACTTACAGGTCTCACCTCTATGATTTTAAAATTCTAGTCACAATTTACTACTTGCTAGTCAAATCCCCATGTCTAACTGGTAAATTGATAGGTATTATTTGTCATACAACTTAACTGCTCAACATTTGAAGTTCAATCAAATGAAAACTTGAATCTCAATTTCACCAGAATCCACACTTTGCAAAATGTTTCATAGGATAGTGTGATTCTTCAAATATATGGAAGATTTTAGAGAATATGAGAAGTATAGCCAGGTCCAGGAAACAAATTTCCAGGAAAGTTAACCAGGTTTAAAATAGAATTACACATCTGTTGACCACAAAATTAGCTTTACATGAAACAAAACAGGGGGGGGGGCAAGGGTTGTTTTGGTATTTAAGTAGGTCTATCAGTTATCAATCCTTTTCATGTTAAGAATATTTTCTGCAAACAAAATAAAAAGCACCAGCTGGATTGATAAAGAGAAGTTGCTGGATGTGGCATGGTACCATTTTCCAGTCCTTATGCAACCTGCCCAGGGTTATGCTGAGAAGACAAATATAATGAGATTATTGGTGGAAACTGTGTTTCTATCAAAATTTGGACAATTAGGTGGGATTTCGACATTTCCCTCTTTTCAAACAGGATTTGGGAACAGATTGTAAAAAATAGTTATTGCACAATTTAACAATAAGTTGACTTCAAATGCAACTTGTTTCCATGGGTTAAACAAATCTCAAATTTTGATCCTTTTATGTTGAAATCTCCCTTTGCTTATCTTGAAATCTCCATCTTTGAAAATGCATGTGATTAATTATTAATATTGATTGAATTATATCGTATTGGTTTTTATTTATCTAATTCAATAATACGTTGGAAATGAATATGTTTCTAACACAGATGTCTTAACTTATATATATATATATATGAAGGATTATACATGTTATACTTTCTAAGGATGTCCCGAAAACAACCAACTCCTGGCCCTTTAGACACATCTGAATAGATAGTTTCGTTCACTAGAGTTCTATTTGAATAGATAGTTCTGTTCACTAGAATTCTAAAGAATTCATATTTTCTGGTCATAAGTCTTTGAATAAGTTATAATGTATAGATAAAATCTATGATAGGTCAACGTGACTTTATCAAATGAAATTCAAGATCTGACGATCAAATCTGTGTGTCTAGCCCATCAGCCTACAAATAACCATGACACAATCAGTTACTGTTAAAGTCATTATAAATACCTCTCAGTCCCAACTGTGAGGACTTCTTCTCTTGAAACTCTTATCTAGACAAGTCATTTTCTTCCTCACAGTATCTTCAACATCCTTCGGTAGAAGAAAATTGACCAATAGTCGATCCTCCGTCTACTACAATTCTCCGTCTAAATCAAAAGAGATGAACCGTCAACGACCAACAAAACCACCAATTTGTCTTCATTAGCAATTCTCATACGCATTAAAGTTAATAGTATTTCTCAACCAATCGAAGTTTCTTGCAATTGTCACGGGGCTAGACTTCTGCTAGACGATTCGTACGGCACTTAGACGATTTCCAAGTCGAAATGGCGTCTAAGTCAGCCTTATCCACGTCCTTGTGAGTCTTTGGCTCACTAAGCGACGAACAAACCCTCAAGGGTTAAACAACAATGCGGAAATAACACTTAATCGGGGCTAATCCAAGCCACCTGGGTTGAAGCGGATCTCTGAAGCACGTGCGCTGTGGGAACTTTCTAAGTCACCAAGACTTGAATCACTTTGGCACTTTGAAAGAACTCGGAAAAGAACACTCCCGAGGCTATCTCAGCCCTCCCGATCGGTAACACAAGCCACAAAGGCTTAAGCACAAAGGAGATCAAGCCGATAAGGCTAGAAAGCTGCAAGCTAGAAAGCTAGAAAGAAAGAACTCAGAGAGAGTAAGAGTAAATGCCTGAGTTTTATTACTCTGAAGAGAATGAATGAAGTGAATGATTACAAATGAAGGGAGGAGCTCTCTATTTATAGTTGAGGCCCTCAAGATCCAACGGTCTAGATCAAAGTACATCGACGGCTTACATTGAATCCTACCTTAACAAAACTTTATCTCTAAGGTATTTGAATTCAAATAAAACATTATCCATAATTAAATCCTTAATTATTGGATAATTTTATTCTTTCTGGAATCTTCCAAGGAACGGGCCAGGTCTGATGGTTCTGGGCAAGCCCAACACTCTGTATTATTCTTCTACAGAAATCTGCGCACACATGTCTCGGTCCGAATCCACGAGCCTCGACAAAATTGCCCCCATCGAACATGTAACACCCTCGTCGCCTCTCTCGGACGCCTCGGACTTGATCCTTCACGAACTTGAGCCTTTACGGACCCGCCCATTCTCCAAGAACCAGGCCAACTCGCCATGCCCAACAAGCCCAAAGTCTGCGCAATTGAACCCCTTCTGTGAACCTTTACACCAATGCCCATGGACCCAAAAGTTTAGTCCGTGACACAATGTAGGAATTATAATTTGTTGATCTTCTTTGCCACATGTACATTGTCGCTCCGGACCATCTCATTTCCTATGATTACAGATGCTTGAATGAGAAACCAAGGATTCTACTTATATGGTATTATTATGAAAGTATCCAAAACCTGAAAAGAGCAGCAGTTATGTTCTTCGCTTATAATGTGAAAAAACCACCTGCATCCTAAGGGCCAGTGCCACTATATAAAACATGGAACAGTCACGGGCATGGGAATGCCATGGACCTGCTGCCCGCGCAAGTCTTCGTCCCAGACGGTCGCACTCTAGTTCTGTCACTATCGTGGGCACGGACCATGACTCAAAACGGCACCTAAACCTTCAACCGTATTAGTCAGAGTCCAAGGGAAAGTAGCTGTGTATAAGATCAAGACAACGTAACCCCATCTTAATAACAGTGGGGATGCTTGATATTTCAGCATTTTTACCCTGGTTTGACTTGTCTGATTGCTTCTGGCGATCACTTTCAGCTCCATAGATGTTTATTTACACGTAAAAAAAGTTGTATGTATGTATGTATGTATATTATAAGAGGTTTCGGTTGGTACCAAAAATATTATTCTAGCTGATAATACTAGTAGAAACAGTTTGTGGTTGGCATCAAGACTATCATTCTATTGCAAGCTCACACTAAATAAGGGATTACACCTATCAAGGCGAATTACTATTTAATCAATCATAATTAGATTCCTAAATAATATTGCAAGAATAAGGTTTTAGATGTGAAGCAGCTCAATTGAAGGCGGTGGGGAAGCTTTAATCATTAAAAGATTTATTGTGGTCCGACCCTTGGACTATATATATATATATATATATTAGCATGCCTTTTTCTTTCCCATAACCTGCAAGAATATGCTGCTTCATAAAGTAAGACCAATTTATATCTTCTTTTCTTCATATATCTGCAGACTGCAGGCAACTTCATGAACTGTCATCATGGAGAAATACTCAAAACTCTTCCACTCAAAGTCTTTTGGAAATATGAAACCAGTAAACCAACCCCATTTCTGCTCACTTATTCATTTTCATCTTCTGATTCATTCTTTTTAAGGCTACTCCCCTTTTTATTATAGTAAATATCTGAAATTGATTGCAGATATGGATGTTCGAATATCAGATTTGTTGATATTCGAATATGGATAGTATGAGTACATGTCTCATACTCATATGGTTGCATGAATAAACTTATAACACACATGTAGCACATGAGAAGAATCTTGAACCAGATCATGGAGTAAACCAGATCATGGAGTAAAGGCAAAATCCTTTTGCATCTTACTTTTTTTTGTTTGATAATCTTAAAAAAGATAAAGATTAGATAAAAAAAAGATTTGCAAAATCACGCAATGAAATCTGATTATACCAAAACTCCTTATCTCACATGACAATTGCAAAAGGACAAAATGATCAAATATTTCAAATTTCTTTATTCTTTCCTCTGCCTGCCTCAGCTGAGCTCTGCCTGTCAGCATCAACAAAAATTATTAGAAACAAAAAGATGGTCATATTCTCAGGCCATGGTTTCAAAATTCTCCCGGAGAACTTTCAACATGTCAGAAAATGTGACAATCCCAACCAAGCGACAATCATCCTCTATGACCCAAACGTAGTTCACCCTATGAGCAATGGCTTGGATCATCACTGCAACAAGTGAGCTCTTGGGATGGCAAACGATTGCCTCGGATCTTCTCACCATCCTGGCCGAATAACTCATCGACCTGCTCAACCTCCCGGGCCTCGGAAGCGGCGAAACCGGAGCGGTCATCGAGTATTCCTCGTCGGACGAAGAGGATGCAGATGAGAAACCACCACTGGACATTGAAACAGTGAAGTGTTGAAGCATCCCCATCAGGTTTTTCTCCTTCAGCTTTCTAGAAACAACCTTGACAAGCTCCTCCGGGGGACCTCCGCAGTCGATGTAAGCCATTAGGTCCCCGGACGACAACGTCATGACCGCTGCCGCTACCGTCTCGTCACAGCAGGCCAAGGTGAAGGGTGAAATCTCGCCTATCAAGGCTCCCTCGCTGTCAACGACGGCCACCGAGGTTTGCTCCACCAAAGCTCGAGAGATGGCTCCAACGGCGGCAGAGGCAGGCGAGTGGTACTCGACGGCGAGCGTTTCGGGGCTTATGATGTTAAGTGTGTCGATGGAAAAAGCTGGGATCGGTGAAAATAAACCAATTGAGCTTAGTAGGAATCTGATAACATCCTCTTGCGTTAACCAGCAGAATTCACAGCCTTTGTGATTAGTGACTGTAAGTGAAGGCTTCTGCTGCTGCTTTGGTCTCTTGTTGCTCAGCTTCGTTTTGATTGGCACCACAAGGTTTTGAGCTCCTTCTAGCATAAGATCAATGACTTCCAACAAGCTGAAAAACGAAATTGAAAATACTAAACATAAACATAAACATGAATTTGCAGTCTGACAACGAACTTTTTAATCCAGAAATTATGTGTACCTGCAAGAGGGTTCCACATGCAAAACAAGGGCTGGAATCTTAGGCAAAAGTGCAGAAACAGGCTGCTCCAAAGCAACAGAAGGTGACACCAAATTTTCATATCTGCAAAGAAAACAAATCACATCCACGATGCAAATTTTGCCTACACATCGACACTCATCATCAAAATCAGATGTCTTTTGACTGGTTCTGGGTTTGTGGTTACAACTCCAGACACTAAGGAAGTTATCATCGGAGGTTTTGAAGACCTGGAGTGCTTCTGCAATGGTGGATGTTAGAGAAAGTGACCTCAGTGCTGGCTTCCCAAGACACAGGTCAGACAACTCATGTGACAATAACCTCACTGCCATGCAAAAGCTAAGGAAAATTGCGTGAATCAAAAGGTTTTCTTTTCTTTTCTTTTCTTTTGATTTTCTACATAGATGGATGCTGAAGCCGGAGATTATGGGTGGCTTTATATAAGAGAGGTGATGCAGTTGCTTAGAAAATTGAAGGGGAAAGGGCCGGCTACACAATAAAAGTACCAATTACCAAAGGGCAAAAAAATGTGGGTCCAAATTATTTTTCTGGATCAACTATATATTTAGTCACCTAATTATTCATGTAATTTCGTTTTATTTATCGGATTTTTTTAAATTATTTTTTTTATTAATATAGGTAAGTACAAGGCAATATTTGTTCAAAGATAATTCTAAATCATTTAACATTTAACACTCACACACCCTTGACATTCCTAGTGCTCAAACCCGAGACCTCCAAGAATAACATCAATTCCTTTAGCACCGAGGTTGTTTGGTTCATGCTTTTAATTTGTACTACATTACCTTTTGGTTTCATTTTAGTTAATCGCCATAAAAAAATTAACGGTGATGCTGATGTATTACCAAAAGGTAATGTAATGTCATCATTGATAAAAAATATTATGCCAGTAGTTATATATATAAACTTTTTAATAACATATGATGAAAGTAAAATCAAAACATAAAATTATATATGATTTTGAAGAAAAAGAATAGTCAGGTGACTAAAACAAAATTGTATAAATAGTTAGTGACTAAATACATAATTTATTTTGCTTTATAATGTAAAAAAATAATAATTTAATTCGGGTTACAGTTTCTTTTAACTATTCGGGTCATGGCTGTCTAAATAATGTTTTAGTGTTTTAAGGTCATCTTCAAGGATGTGGGTGTGACTTTATGTTTTATAATGCAGGTTAGGTTTACTTTATGGTAATCGTTTCCTTTTGGACACCATTACCCTTCTTACAAAGGACAAATTAATTTTTAGTCCTCAAATTTGAGTTTTTTAATTTGGTCCTTAAATGTTTTTTTTTCTTCTTTGATTTCCAAATTTGGTAATTTTCCTTTTTTTTTAATAATTTTAAAATTTTAATAGACATTTTATTCTTGAATTATACATTTCTACCAAGTTGATATTTGAAGAATTGTACTCTGAATTTTAATTTTAATCGTTCTTTTGATATTTTTATTAAATTAATTAATTATTATCATAATTTTATTTATTTATTTAATAAGAAAATATTGAGCAATTTATTTATTTATTTAGGAATATCTTAATTAAATAATTAAGGATAAACAATAATTTTTTCACAGAAAAAACTAAAAATTTAAGTTTTTGAGATTAGATTAAAAATATTTTTTTAACCATAATTTTACTTTTGGATGTTTGATATTACTGAAAAATTACTTTTTTGTTATTGCCAAAAGTATTCCCAAACTGGTATTAGGCTTATTATTGTATTGTAGGTTGAGTGATTGATTCATTTTAGGATAAATTATGTGTTTAATACTTAAACTATCAGCTTTAGTCTATTTTAGTACCTAAACTTTCAAATTTTCAAAATCATACCTAAAGTTTAGTTTTTATTTCATTTTAGTACCATGTTCAAAATTTAATGTTAAGTTTAAGAAAATGCAAGTTTAGGTACTAAAACGGGTCAAAACTGATAGTTTAGGTACTAAACGTGTGAAGTTTTTAACTATAGGGTACTAAAATGAAGCAAAAACTAAATATTAGATATGATTTAAAAAAAATGAAATTTTAGATATTAAACACAACCAAAACTGATAGTTTAAATAGTAGATGCATATTTTACCCTTTATTTTAACGTGGATTTGGGACAATAGACTTAAAAGTACATTTTTACAAGGTATGAAAAAGAATAGAATGACCGATTCAGTGATTATACCATTAAGGGATGAAATGAGATGATGCGTTTTATTTTTATTTTTTTTATTTTTATGTTAGGTATGGTTTTGAGAACGTTTCTCTAAACGAGTTTTTAAACAAACATTTTCAATGTAAAAGTATCTTTTTTTAGCTTCTTGATTTGAGTTAATAATCTTATTTCAAATGTGATTTTTTTGTTGAAAATGAGTTGTTTAGAAATACTTTTTCGTTTCAAATGAAATTTTGGATAAGAAAACATTTCTATAAGCATTCTCAAATGGCCACTTAAAATGATAGTTTATGGGAAGAATAAGATTTTTGTAGAGCTGTTGAAAATAATACTTCTGTTTTGTATAAATTTAATGCAATGAGGTCAACGAGTGTTGGTACAAGTGATTGTGACTTAAGAATTTGAGCTTGTAAGGCCAAGTTCAAATCTTACCACCATCATTCTTGGTGGGCAATCTGTAAATTCTTATGTAAATCTCGAATAGATCTTAGGTATGCCCTGACCCTGGATTGGAGGAGTTATCATGACCTAAACTTTTTTGTACCAATTTTTTTTAATGCAATGAGTGTCATAGCATGATGGTTGATTTTCTTGTCTTGTTTTGTATAACATATCGAATGTTTAATCAAAATAATTCAATTCTTAATTTTTTTATTAAATAGAGAGGTATTATATTTTCAAGATAAAAAATCGAGATTGAAATTCATATAAAATAAAATAATTTAAATATTTTTGACCTCTCAATTAATTAATGAATTTTAATTCAATTCTTACCCCGAATGTTATTTATATTATTTAAAATTACTTGATGGATTCAAAAATTTATTTGATCAAGTTGTGGCAAGTAAAAGTTCATCCTTAGTTTTGTCGAGGATTCGAGACACGTGATTGATAATATGTTGTACAAGTGTATGAATGTCTAAATTTGTATTAAAAATATTTATAATTATGAATAAAATTACACTCGATAATAAAAATAAGCATGTATACCAATATACCATAAATTAAATATAATTAGATGTTCCAGTTGAAAGAAAGGTAAAAAGGCACTCGAGGTTCCTAAATTTTTTCAAAAAAAAAACCAATGTGGTCCTCATTTTATTTTTGGATTATTGTGGCCCTTTAACTCGAAAAAAAAAATCAATGTGGTCCTTTGACCTACGTTGACCAATGGTTCTGCTAATTCCTTCTGTTATAAATTGGGTAAATTACACCATTCATCACTCAACTATCTTCTCTCCTCTATTTTGGTCACTAAACGCTAAATATTTTCAATTTAATCACTCAACTTTTGAATTACTCCTATTTTAATCACCATAAATTATTTTATTATTGTTTATGTATGATGTGGCATATATTATTATTATTATTTTATTAATATATGATGAAAATAGTATTAATTAAATTTTATTCAATTAAATTAAAAAATGATATTTAAATAAAAAAATCCCAAAACCCTAATCGTAACTCCACCCCACCTTTATTATTTTATTAAATTTAATTTTGACACATAAATCAAATAATAATAAATGCCAAGTGTAGTAAACGTGGGGTGGGGTTTCGATTTAGGGTTTTGGGAGTATTTTTAATTGAATTGAATAAAAGTTAATTAATATTATTTTAATTATATATTAAAAAAATAATAATAATAAATGTCACATCATAAATACTAATAAAATAAATTATGGTGATTAAAATAGGAGTAATTCAAAAGTTGAGTGATTAAATTGAAATTTTTTAGCGTTTAGTGACCAAAATAGAATAGAGAAGATAGTTGAGTGATGAATAGTATAATTTACTTAATTTATAACAGCAGGAATTAACTGAACCGTTGGTCAACGTTGGTTAAAGGGCCACATTGATCCAAAGGATTAGGACCACATTGATTTTTATTTTTTGAAAAGTTCAAGGATCTCAGGTGCCTTTTTGCCAAAATTTAAATTGTAATACCATAATTTTTTAAAAAGTACAAATTTTTTTTAGGATGAGGCTAGGGGTCCATTTTTAAAGAGTATCAACTATTCTTAGAGTGATGTCAATATATTTTTTAAAGTAATGTCAAATTTATTTTTAATTTATAATTTTTTTAAAGATTTCCCCCCAAAAAATTTAGGTGTTAATTAGCACCCCCAATAATAGATTTAAGTAGCCCGTGACTTCAAACAAGACAACAAAAAAGTAGGGTCATGAAACACATAATGAAATGGTTGTTAGTACTATTTTTGCAATATATAAAACTTGTAGCCCCAAATTTATTGGCTGTTCAAGCTGTCTAATTCAATAAATCAGTATTTGGAAAAATAAATTACTCGTTTATTTTGTGTATTTTTTTTATGATTTATGATAGTTACATTTACTTATAATTTATATTATATATAACAAAAATATATAAAGTTAGGTGAACAAGTTTGTATTGTTTTTAGTTTTTGTAGTACAAATTTCCCAACTCTCATATTTTAGTATAGCTAATTGATTTATCCACAAAATCGCATGACTCATGTGAAAGTGATATATATTGATGATATAGACCTTCCGTAGATAGCTTGGCTGGATAGGCTCAAATTTAGGGATGACAAACGGGTTCTGATTTGATATGATATAGAGTCATATTTTTTAAAGGATGAAGTTGGGTCTGGTTCGTGTAGAGGGTAAAAAATTCTGACCCGACTTAAATCGGGGATAATAATGTAATTTTTTTTAAAAAATATTTATTTTTAAATTAAATCCTTAATTTGTGTCGGGTCGAAATTATACTCTAGAAAATCGGGTGAGATCAGAGTCAGTGAAGGATATATATTTTACGGGGTAGGTCGGATCGGATGTAAGATATAAAATTTTTAGATCGAATTCGAGTGGAGGGTGTATATTTTCGGGTTAGATCTGGTTGACCAAAAACTCAACCCGTTGCATCCCTACTCAAACTATATATGTAATTTTTTGTTGTTGTCCAAAAAGTCATTATGGCCGAAAATAATAGTGAAAATTTCAATATAAAACGATACCAAATCATAATCCAACAAGTTTATGAACATGTCTAGACTGAAAGTAGTTTTTATTTAATGTCTATCATATATTTTATAAAACGATATCAAAAGTGATATATATTGATGATATAGACCTTCCGTAGATAGCTTGGCTGGATAGGCTCAAACGTAGGGATGACAATTTTATCAGTATACGACGGGTTCTGATTTGATATGATTTAATCGGGTCAGATTTTTTTAAAGGATGAAGTCGGATCGAGT